CATGCCACAGTTAAACATGAATATCCCATTCAGACTCAGTACACACTGACTGAGCTGACCAGTCCCCTTGTTTTAGCCCCTTATTGGTGACCACCAGGCAGGGTAACAACAAATACCATCATTTAATGTCTTTTTGGTAAGACACAGCCAGGTATCGAACATCCGACAGTCTGTGTCCCCTCCCCCCCTCTCTCTCCAGGCGGACGCTCTACTACCACAAACCACTTTCCAAAAATGAAGAAGATGGTAGGTTTCGCTGACTTTGAGAGAATTCATGATCAGTCTGGTTTTGATGAACCATTGGGTTTATAGTGGGGAGGAAACTGGGACTCAAACCCACAGCCAGGAGATCCTGGCAATTGGGTGAGTGGGTGGGTGAGTGAGTGAGTGAGTGAGTTTAATGCTGCTGGGAACATTATTTCAGTTACATCAAGCCCTGATGATGTGGGACCACATGATGCAGGTCTCAGACATTTACCACTTTGGTGAAACTCTGATATGGTGCTTACAACCCAAGAAATGTAATCAGGGCAAGCTGAGACATGACACCACAATCACAGGTTTCTGGCACACCAAAGGGATACAACTCTACACGGTTATTCTGGTGCCCTTGACAACTGGAAAGTGTCATGCCAGGGGTTGATAGACTGGAAGCCCTCCATGTGTCACAGAGAATGCCTGAAGGGTGTCAGTGGGTGTTACAAGTGTTTTATGGTGGCCTAAGTTTACCTGTGTAAACCCGAGGCAAACAATGGGAATATCGACCCATACCAGTAGGGTTTGTTGACACGATATCTCCAGATTGCCTGTGAGATATGTTCCATACTGTCCTAGTTTGTCATAATATGGACTGTAAAAACATAGGTGAGGTGAAATGGGGTTTAACGTCGCGTCCAAGATTATTGCACATATATAGTGATGTGCATGTACGTGTGTGTGTGTTTGTGTTTGTGTGGCTGCTTGTACTAGTTCGGAATGATGCCGATTTATAGTGCTAGATCACTGAGATACCATGCCACAATTTAACATGAATACCCCACTCAGACACAGTATACTGACTCCGAGCTGACCAGTCCTTGTTTTAGCCCCTTAATGCCGAGCGCCAGACAGGGTAACAACAACTACCATCTTTTAACGTCTTTGGTATGACGCGGCTGCGGATTGAACCCCTGACCTTCCGTTCTCCAGGCGGACCTTCTACCACTCGACCACGGAGGCGGTCTCGTAAAAACATAGACACAGATAACAAGGTCACCTTTTCATGATGTAATCAATGTCTGATGTGTGAGGTGAGGTGAAATGGAGTTTCACATTCCCTCATACATGCATGCAGTGGTCTGGCTGCTTGTACTCATCTGGAAGGGCCAGTTGTACAATGCTAGCCAACAGAGGTACCATGCCGCTGTTTAACATGGATACCCCACTCAGACAGAGTATATTGACTCCGAGCCAACCTGCCCTTGTTTTATACCCTTAATGCTGTGTGTCAATCTGGGTTAAACTCATGCCATATATGACAATCATGTAGTCAGCCGTCAAATTTCAATTAGCCAAAGAATACTAAATCATACTGAGTGAGTGAGTGAGTGAGTGAGTGAGTGAGTGAGTGAGTGAGTGAGTGAGTGAGTGCGTGCGTGAGTGAGTGAGTGAGTGAGTGAGTGAGTGAGTCAGGTTTAACGCCGCTTTTAACAGTATTCCATTTATATCGTGAAGTGTCAGCTTGATGTGGGAGGAAAGCCCCAAGTGATGCAGGCCACTTTGGTGAAACCTACGAGCACGGGTATGGTGCTGACAAACCTAGAAACATAGATGGGGCAAACCAGGATTCAAACCCACATTCATAGGTTTCTGGCATGCCTAAGGGACGCAACTCTGCACAGCAAATTGCAGTGTCATAGACGACTGGGCCACCCGTGCCCCCCTAAATCGTACTGAGGACTACAAAAAATGCAATGATGGTAGTCCTCAGCGACTTGAAACACTTGATGGCTATTTTTCTCCATGCGATGATTTAAACAGATCAGTCTTAATGGACGAGTTACAAACTGTAAGGACTTGTGTAATAAGTTTTGCACTTGTTCTTTGGACAACTCTTACAAAATTAACCAGAATTTCAGAGACTGTACAATGAGTCAGTGAGCATTAGCAGAAATTCAGAAATACCATGTCTAAGAAAAATGGGCTTCACACATTGTACCCATGTGGGGAACTGAACATGGCCTTTGGCGAGAAGCGTGAACACTTTAACCACTTGGCTACCCCTCTACAGCTGACAGTCATTGATAATGACACAGCTTAGCCATTCCTTGGATGTCATGTGTCAACATAATGTAAATAGTCAGACCATTACATAGCTACACAGCTGTTTGAATGTTTCTATGAATTCATAAAACACATCAGAATCTGCTCTGGAAACATAACATCTGTGCAACCATCTGTTACTAGGCTTACTTTCAACATGCAAATTAGAGTCAGGTTAATTGAAAATATAGACTCACTATAATAATGTAGCTTTGTTATATTCAGACAATGCCTGTGACATTGTTTCAAACAGCTGAAATATAGCTGGAAGAACATTAACATTGACAGTCTCACCATCCTCACCAAACACTGGTGTTCATATTCTGACATACAAATACACACTTATACAACAATTCTCTAAGATATCTGACAACTTACTGAATTGCGAGCATGCAACAGTGAAGATCACTGTGGAGATTACAAAGCAAAAACACAATGACCTGAAATTAGGCCCACAGTTGTTCACGAAGATTCCTGGTGGAGATAGATATCAAACCACGCTGGAATGTGCATGCCATTAGATCCAGTCCTGATGGACAACCTCTGGTCATTGTTCCACCACAAGCACAGGGACTAGGTCAGACACTGATAGACATCCACATTAACTGTCACTTGGTCCCTGATTTCTAGCTGTTTGCTTGCAACATAGACAATGATTGGATATACAACCTAATTAGGCAGGAGCCACAGCTTTGCATCATCACTATCAATTCTGACCTGACTCTCATATGAATAGGGAAGTCTTCCTCCCAGCCCCTGGAGAACAAATTAAGAAAGGAATCCAACTCAAGTCTAGAATTATTTGGCAAGTTTAGATTGCCTCGATCAGAAATTCAGCATTATGTTCTGTGCTCAATTTGGGTTATATTAATAAATATGATAACTTTATTTCTGGGATGAATAGGGCTGTATTGATTCTGGGACATCATGGCATCTAGCTATATGTGAAACAAATTCAAGCTGGTAAATAAATTGTTAGTGGTATGTGAGAGTTCACTGTTACTTTAAATCACTTAAGTTTATTGAAATAATTTGTTGGGTTTCTCTCTTACGATGGACACGCTATGGCTCAATATAGAATACTGTTTTAAAGTATTGTATACATATCATATTGTATCACAACCATACTACATTTCATATCAGGCAAAAATGTAATGTAAAGGCACACTTATAACTCTCTCATACAAACCCAGAAACAAAAATAGCCAAAAATTCCGATGCAAGTCTACAACAGTTTGTCAAGTCTAGAATATTATTTCAGTATCAATATGATCAAGGTCTCTGAAAATGAGGAAATTCTCTGAGCTATTTTCTATATGATCACACAATTTGAAAAATGGAAAATCTTAAAATCTTTCCATTTCAGAGACTAAATATTGTCTACAGACCAATCATTGATTTGTGTTTATTTATTTCAGTACCCCTGGCCCATCAATAACATGATCATCCAACTCCAATTTAACAGAATCATATCAAAATCTATGAACCAACAATGCAACAGAGTCAAATTGTCTTTCAAAACAAATAACACATAGAGCCCCAATCTTCAAAACAACATACCGGTACACAAATAAATATGTTGTCATACCTCTTAAGCCACAAACATGTCTGATTCATAAAGCTTCAGCTCAGAAAAAAGTTTTTCATCCTCGTTAGTGCTGACTTATCAAAGGAGCCATCACGCTCAGTCATCTTCACAAAGTACATCAACATTACTGTGCCTTGCTTTAGAAAGGTTAATTGTGAGGAACTTTCCTACAGCGATTGATGACTAATCTCATGAACGATACAAGGGGCAGCTACAAGATTCATATTACTGTAGCACACTAATTTAATGTTTTATTAGCTATTCTGCAACATTATAAATAAGCATAGAGTCTGATACAAAGTGAACACATTCTCAGACATTTTAGTACTCTTGTATCAACATACAACCACTAATTAATTAATGCATCTGGATCATTTCAATCTGAAAACTGCAAAACGATACTGTAGCTAGCGATAAAAATAAAACTGCATCGCAACACTTAATATTGCATGGTATCTTATTCTGAAAATGTACCTTGATTTCATTAAGAATACAAAAAGTTTGCTCTCAATCTACGGAGACAAACTGCCGTATCACTAAAACAATATAACACCATTAATGAAAGTCGATTAGTTCATTACTAAAATATTCATGATCTACCTCGTAATCTAGTATCTCATGCAGACGGTGAAACAAAAAATGATAAAGGAGGCATATACTCCAAACCGTTGTGTAAAAATAAAGAAGTTGACATCTATAAATTCTCTTCCTTATGTGTATCACTTCTAAATGCCTTTCAAAGACATGGAAACTGCTGTCCAATCAGCTCTACAAGACCAAAGCAACTCTAGATTCTTCAGTTCTGGACTCCTTTCTATTATACCATGTATACAGTAAACTATGGTTATAACGAACTCAACATTATGCTCAAAGGGAACACTAATTTAAGTTTGTTATAACCGTAGTTTGTTATAAGCATATACAGCATATGTACAGCAAATGGCTGGGACCAAAAAATAAGTTTGTTATATCCGTCAGTTCGTTATAAGCATGTTAATAAACATAGTTTACTGTATGTCAAAGACAATCTAATCAAAATCATGATTAAAAATAAAATTAAAATAATTTGATTGAGAGACTAGATGTCAGCCTACTGGTAAGGTGGACCTACCCTGGCGGTGTGATTGGGCCTGCTCTTCCCCACTCTGCAGGGTTCCTACTACATACACATACATGATCCACTCCCTGGAATCTCAGGAACTACACTACAAACACATTATGGTGACCTCCGACACGTACTGGTGTTGGTTCATTGTTTCCACAGCAGTGGTGACAGATTTATGTTTCCAACCACTGCCACCATGTCAGCCATGTTGGGGGTCAGGAGGAGGAACGGACATACTTCATCACATTGCTGTACGTCCCGGATCACAACACTGATCACCCTGGCCGCTTCAACACTGGATAGCACGAGAGTTGTTACACAGTGATAATCCTCTGCTCCATCAAACAGGAAGAACTAATATTTCATATCCACACACCAAAACTCATCCGTGATAAAACACAAAGCCACTGTATTCAGGATAATCCAAATGTCCAAAGAAATATAATTGTTGTCTGATATCTTCCACCACCTCTGAGCTAGGCTGGTGCTATCTCCTGGTTGATTCAGATTCTGGAAAACTGATATCAATGTACCTGGTTATAAAAACATCCTTAACCAAAACCCACTGTGTTTAGAATTCTGAAGTCATCCATGGGCAACGTTATCAGCCCAACTGTCTGATTCTCCCATCACCTTGGAACAAAGTAGCATTCCAGCAGCTCAACACCATATCCTTGTAGATCTATAAATGTTCACTGAAGAGCAAACTTAAATCATTCATCAGCTTGCAGAATGGTTCTTCAACCAGACACAGTCAAGGTCACACAAGACTGGAAACAAACTGTCCCGTCACTCATGGAGTGTCGCAGGAGAATAGCTGATGTTCTAGTCTGAGCATAGAACCCCTGCAGGGCACATGCATGTAACTAGGCATATACGACCTTTGATGTCACGCTTTAATTAGTCTCTAAGAACAAAGGGCTTACTCAACCAAGTTGATGCTCTCCACACTGAATCACTGCCTGTTATATCACACTATAGATAACACCAATACGATGAAACATGTTCCTCCAGCTCTGATGTGTATTACTCTTTTCAATCTGTCCTATCATTCATCTGTGATCTCTGCATGCAACATGTAGAACTTGATAGCATTGGGGCAATGTTGACCGAGTCTGACAGCTGGGTTCCACCCACGCTGAAATCCTTCTCTGTACCATAAACATGATAAAAAAAAATCCAGTTGATAAGAGGATGTTCCAAGGCAACCCTACACTGGTAATTGCTGATATGAAGTTGGTTCTGATAGTCACACGTGTATGTTTGCCCACATCAATCAGAACAGTTTATAACTGAGAGAGATTACATGTGTTCTCAGGCAGGGATCAGGACATTGGTTGTAGTTTTCTATAACTACAGGCAATTAAGAACAGACAGATATCCTATTGTCCTGATAATGGTATTTCATCTGTACTACCTGGTGATTGTACCACCAAAGTCAGTGTTTCCATCTGAGACCAAACCGTGGCCTTTGCAGCTAATTAATAAAATATTCAGGTCTGTGATCACTGGCTGTTACCTGACACGCTTGCAGCAAAATGTTTGGGGAAAATCCATACCTTTATCTGGAACTAACTAGAGACAACGTTTTCTCAGGAAACATTATCCAATTTTCTGAAACAGTATCAATTGGAAGAAAAGACTATCTATCCTGAACAAAGTTTCCCTTTCATCAGATGAGCCTCCAGACAACAGAGGCCATGAGTCATTTGATGTATTCCTCTGTGGTATTGTAAACTATACAATACTTCAGTCAGTAGGCCTGCTCCATGTGGAACAAAATGACACAATATCTTAGCAACCACTTACAGAATTGGTTTGCAACAAGTCATTCAATGTTTATTCTCTGTATGTTGCCTAACGAACCGTGCAATAATTCAGTCAGCAATAAAACTCCCTGCTGAACAAAATGGTACAATATCTGACAATATTCTCACTGTAAGCATTCCAGAGTCGGCATGTTTATTGCTGTGTTTTCCTTGACCAGATGGCAAGTTATCAGAGATCCCACTCCACTGTATATCAGCTAGACACCAGCTGAAAACCAATCACGTCTTTGGGAAACATCTAAATAGATCAGCAGAGTTCTGTTGTATGAAAATGTTGGCTTTGATGTAGAGGTTATCTCAAGCCTGTCTGCATGATGGCTTCCATTGCTACACTTGGCTATCATATCTGATATACCTCAGTAGAAACATATCCTATCAGGGCCTCACGAGGAGAAGGTTCATCACAAGAGTCAAGTAGGATAGCTGTCTATTATCCACCTCCACACAACTCTTTGTAGTATGCAACAAGTCCAGTGAAAGTCCATGTGCAGGTTAATTGTATTCTTTAGCAAAGGTTGCTAAATTGGCATCACATAGTCACTGCTACTTCAACAACAGAAAACTGTAAAAACCTCAGGTAACTGCTGGTATTGGTGTCGACAAATTTTAAATCCTTTTTACACACATCAAAGTTTTAACCTGTATGATACCTGATCCGAACCAAGTACACATCTAAAGTACCAGGAATAATGCCCTATCGATGGCTGCCTGTACCATGTTGTACAGACTTGTGACAACCAGGAACTGTTTGCTGCATGTCGCCATCAGGTGTCACTGTGTCCTCCAGCAAGTGTCTCTACACACTTTGACATTTCACCACAGCGTTCGACTTCATGTAACATTTATATGCCAGTATGGTTGATTTTTTCATGGGAAGTCGTCAAGCAGGTTTCGAGTTTCACCTGTCCATTTGTCTGTATGTAAAAGCCTTCAAAGACCTTTAGAGAGACAGCCTCTCCCTTCTCCTGGATGCCCTTCCAGAAATGCTAGGCCAGTTGCTATACATATTACTGACCCCGTGCTTGTAGCTGTTCCAGATGACTTTCTCAGATACGTACAAGCATGTAGACTGTCACAATGAAATATGACACCACTGGTGTCCCATATTCTGGGTACATTTGATTCACATCAATGGATACTTAAACTGAGTGACGTCCGCAGATGTTTCCCTATCCCATTCAGTCTATCCTTCAAAATATATTGAATTCATTTTGGTGTTCATCTTCCAAATATACAAAAATATTGGCAACTTTAGAATCTTTTACAGACATCAATAATTGATAACAAATGGGATGTGAATTGCTAAAAAATGCATGACATATTAGTATTAACTTCTCATATTACAAATACCAAAAGTGACACCAACCAAAACCTTTATACAGGTTCAAACGTATTAATTTTTACAAATTCACATCTCACATATTACAGGATTCCAGATAACAGATAACAGCCTGCAGCATCACCGTTTTCCTGAATTTAACACTTGAAGTTTGAAAGCCTTTTCAGAAGGTAGTTCTCCAGTGTATCTGTAGATCCAAAACAAACACACCCTGTCCACAACTCAAGGAAGCCCATAACTAAAGATGGACCATAACTCCAAGCAATTATCCTGAAATGGCCAATGAAACGCTCACATCTGTGACCCTGCATGAAATGTTTACTCATCTCCTCCTAGGCTATCTTACTAGTTATACCACCCTGCCCGGGTTATATAATATACAGCGTTATCACACCCTGCTCATCTATATCAAATATTTGTCCAAGCTATTATTCAACTTGGCTGCGACTGAAGCTTAAGTAAACATCACATGGTTCAGTGTGTCATATCGTGGAGCTGGCCTCATAATTCCTTTTCCTTCAAACTGTTGGATGTTTCACAGCTTCTGCCACTTATGGTCACACGATGATCACCGAATCATATCCATCAAGGGTAACCATCTTGGCAGGATTTATTTGCTGGTTGAATGTTGTTCATTAATCACATTACAGATACAATATTGATATGTATGTATTTATTCAATGAATTAAAAAGTAAACTTACACATGACTTGATTTGCAGGTTATATAGAGGAGGAAGAGTTCAGGGCGGAATAATCAGACAACAGCGACATTTATGGAGAGGTAAAAATGATTCATGTGACAGTGCAAGTACAAATAACAGAGTGAGTGAGTGAGCGAACGAGTGCCGCTTTTAGCAATATTCCAGCAATATCACGGTGGGGGACACCAGAAGGATCTTGTTTTGTAATAAAATTGTCAGATACATGTGGTCAGCAGACATTCCAGAGTTCCTCGCCCATTGCCAAGCTTGACACAAGGCAGCCATAGAACTATCAACAAATAAGTCTGGTGCCTCACAGGGTAAGAAGAACTAAGTTTGCCTCACAAACATATTATATTCCCTTGAACAATTTACAACCTGGTCAATTTAGAGTGAGTGAGTGAGTGAGTGAGTGAGTGAGTGAGTGAGTGAGTGAGTGAGTGAGTGAGTGAGTGAGTGAGTGAGTGAGTGAGTATGGTTTTACGTCGCTTTTAGCAATATTCCAGCAAGATCACGGCAGGTGACACCAGAAATGGGCTTCACACATTGTACCCATGTGAGGAATCGAACCCGGGTCTTCTGCGTGAGGAGCGAACACTTCAACCACTAGGCTAACCCCACCGCCCCAACAGAGCTATGCAGGGAAGACATATACCATTGGTATTAGATTACTTATATTTCACATATTTTCTGTGATTTCCCTACAAGTAAGAATGCGAGTTATATCAAGGTGCGTCAGTATAATATTGGAGTAATGTCCTTAGTGATGGAGATCGACAATATTGTGAGCTGTGACTTGTGAGTTATGATTTGATAGTTATATCTTGCAAATTCTGATAAATAGTTAGAAGATTTCATTCCGTGATTGTACTTTTTTGAGACTGCAGATACATTATATCATATGATACTTGAGAAGGAAACAGGTTTATTATCATTTGTAGTTCCATCATGTCTAAAAGCTGAAGGGTGGATGGAGAATTTGCCCAAATAATTTAATACAAAAAACCGCGGCCCATTTTTCTGGGCCCACAAAAGACGAGATTATGTGGTGTCTAAGGCACTGACCCATGAGCATCGCCATGGTGCTGACAAACCAAGAATCTTACTTTAGGCTGAATCATGGATTCGAACCCATGACCATAGAATGGCAGCACCTTACACAACTTGACATCCATTCCCCCCATTAAGACTAGAACACAGACCTTGTCCATAAGAAGCAAACACAAGGATCACTGGGCTATGTCACAGCTCAAACACACTTCAGACTTAGTCAACATGACCATATGGTGTCGACCACATTCTGCAGTAATCTAGATTACTGCAGATTACTGCATAGCCTGATCTGCCTGCACATGCTGATAAACACATTACTATATAGCTGATACTGGATCAGACAGGATATAACGGTATACAAAGTATATAAGAAGATGACTGCATTTCCTCTTATCGTAGCGTTCCTAAACTTGCCTCTACTGCACACCAGGGAATGTCCTAGCTCCACGCCAACCTGATCATCCTTGCGGGCTAATTAGCCTCAACTCACCAGGGAAACAAACAAATTAATCATTATTCACGGTTCAGTGATCATTCAGGCCACATTGATAAGCTCTGTGTCATTATTGATCATATCAAACTTACTAGTCAATAATAAATTCCAGTGATGATATATAATGAATATAACAGTACTTCAAGAATTTAATGGTAACTAACTGTGCAAGAGTGATGTAATCATAATTGAAGATTTTATACTGAATAAAGGTAAAAATTTTGATAACATTTATAATTGTTTTTACACAGCATACTGCACCCACGCTGCACCCTCACAAGGCCAAATGATTCACTGAATTGATCTGCACTTTTATTCTGCCAATTCAATGAACATCTACAATATCAATTCCGTTGAATATACAACAAGATAGCAACAAAAAATGACAAGTCAGCACATCTTTAGTGAACTGCAAATGAGTTTGGTTTAACCTGATTTGGAACAGTAATTCAGTAATATAACACTGTGTCAGCTTGACATGGGAGGAAATTCCAAAGTGATGCAGTTGTTTACCTCTTTGGTGAAGTCACTGTGCGTGATTATGTTCATTACAAACTAAGAAACATTATCAGGGCAAACTGGGATTCGAAACCAGGATTGCCTAAGCAACACAACTCTAGACAGTGAATTGCAGCACCTGAGACAACTGGACACCTGTGCCCGAAATGTGAATGATGAAATTTCTGTAATACGTATTTCAGTTCATCATGGAGAGATAAACAGAGGAGGTAAGCCCACGTGACACAGACATTACCACCATGGCGAAGCCTACAAACAAGCTGTATGGTGCTGACAGTCTAAACCATACCAGTATGGATGCTGCTTTGCCTCAACATTTCAAAAAGATACAAGTTAACTACCAAGTATCTCAGCCTCATTCCAGGGCTACAGACATGCTTACTGACTTCATACAGTTTGTGGCATCAAATATAACCCACAGCCATAATTATTCCCTGCAGTTCTCAAACAACAAATAGTAAATGAACCTTGGGAATTTGCAATGCTGTTACATGTTGCATGTGACAGACTTTCCATTGAGGAAGAGTGTTTGGTATCATTGTGTTTCCCGGCATGTTATGACACGCATGTTACATCAGACTGAGGCCATGGTTGTGACACAGATGTCCTATTGCCCATCACATGCAGGGTTTGTCACCACGCTCAGTCCCGGGCAAACATGTGGGGTTGATGGGCGCTTACGGCGGCTGCAGCGACAAACAAAGCCGTCAATGAGGCCTCTGTCCCTTGTCAGCATGTGACGGCCTGAAATCTCTCACCTCGGTGTTGGACATCAAAATAGCCACAAGAATGTCTGGGACGGTCATCACAGTTTGGTCTTTGGCTGTAGGTGCATCTTTACAACATGGCTGGCTGAGGTCAGTTGCCACACAATACCAGTTTCTTACAGACTCAAGTCTGGTGCAACAATACCAGTTTCTTGCAAGTGTCATGTCTGATACAACAATACCAGTTTCTTGCAAGTGTCATGCCTCATACAACAATACCAGTTTCTTGCAAGTGTCATATCTGATACAATACCAGTTTCTTGAAAGTGTCATGCCTCATACAACAATACCAGTTTCTTGCAAGTGTCATGTCTGATACAACAATACCAGTTTCTTGCAAGTGTCATGTCTGATACAACAATACCAGTTTCTTGCAAGTGTCATGCCTCATACAACAATACCAGTTCCTTGCAAGTGTCATGCCTCATACAACAATACCAGTTTCTTGCAAGTGTCATGCCTCATACAACAATACCAGTTTCTTGCAAGTGTCATGTCAGACACAACAAAACCAGTTTCCTACAGACCAAAGTCTGATACAACATACCACTTACCTACAAACTGTCAAGTCAAATACAACAACAAGAACAGCTCTTTATCATGTTTTCAGAACATAAAGTCTGATTTCACAATAGAACCAACAAACAACAAAGTTACAATTCAGGTACATAAAACTGATAGCTGATAGGATACGCCCATGTATGACAAGAAACAGGTATTAAAATTAACATTCTTGAGCAAATCGGTAACTGAAGAACTAGGAAATGAATTGTCCAAATACAATGAATAAACATGCGTACAGATTAAATTAACTATAAAAAAATAGTTGTTAACAACCCAGAACTACATAAACTGTTGTCATAATCAATGCCTATTCCTTATTACCTGTATTATTGAAAAGAAAACTGATCTTTAAACATCCTTGTCCAGTGAATTGATTAATCTTAACAAAAAATATGCATTACATGCGTAATATTCATCTCAAGTGTGAAAAAGAATAAAACTAATTTCAATGCTTTAACATAACTCAATAAAAGTTGTCGTGCATTTTCATGTACATTTGCAACACATCTGGTTAAACATTTTCTGAAAGGCAGTTATAAACCTTGCTGTACAACATCCTCCATAATAGCTGTTGTTTGGTCCAGATGAGTTGGGAAATACTGCGTACTTACCCGTTATTATC